TCTTGCTATTTGCTTTCTCGTACTATATAAAACGTCATAAAGTAGCATTCAGAAGGTCGTGGGTATGTTTAACGGCTGCGTAATTCTGTCGACGAGGAAATCGTCGCAGTTACACGGTTTTGTTTTGTTTGACGCTCTCAACAGGTTAGGTTAGTTAGTTGTGAATCCTTTACAGGACGTTGCAGAACCAACCCCAACAGCCCCTGGCTGTTGTGTGCTTTTTCTAGGCAAATCCAGTAATTTGCCATTGCTTACTGGACGGTCGGCTTTCCTGATACCACTAACGAAACCAAAGCAAGGCGCGTGGCCCGCAGCTGGGATCGAACCCGGCATCCAGGCATTACGAAGCGTTCGCATCGACTTAGCCACAGAGCCGACTTCCCAACAGGTAGCTAAGCGTTTTGCAGAGACAGAACGAGTCACGTGGGATAAAACACGTCACTCGTAAAAGCCAGCCTGCCATGAATAAATATTAAAAAATGATGTCAAAATATTCAAATTCCCATAGCAGTCTTTTCCCTTTATGACGGTACACAAGGAGACCACAAACTGCATACTGCACCAATTATTGCCTAACGTATTTCATTCTATTTCGCCATATACATGACTAAACAGCGGTGCCAACAACAACAACAATAGCAACACCACGCACACACATACACATACACACAAAACATTTGGGGAACGAGGGCGCCCAGCATCTGTTAGCCTTTTTTGTGGGGTGGGGGGGGGGGCTTTAGGAGGCCAAGCCTGGTTTAAGTGCTGTATAATAATAATAGTATATAATAATAATATGCTGAATAGGAAATAAATGTAACAGTTTGTTTGAAATAATTTGAAATGTATAAACACATTCTTCAAGTGATAATTTATTTACTTGGTTTGGAGGGCCAATTTACCATTTGCACATTTTCTAGGTAAAATGGATTGGGGGGGGGGGGGGGGAGGTATTGTCTTGTCTTGTCTTGTCTTGTCCACAATTGCCTCACAGCGTAGTGGGGAGTCGCAGTTTTCTATCCTGGGCCAGGTGTGCTGCACGTGTTGTTGTTAGTCCGTGTTGCCTCAGGATCTCTGATATATTGTCTATCCATAGTACTCTCGGTCTGCCTCTTGCTCTAGGGCAGTAGTGCTGTTCGTTGTATGCTCGTAGAACAGAAGGTATTAAAGGGGGAGGTATTAAAGTGGCTAAATGCGAAGATTCCTGCGCCCCTACATTATTCTATTCATTGTATAATTAAGCAACAGTTTTGTCAGTTAAAAAAAATCAATTTCAGTTTTTAAATTCCGATAACTAAAATAAAAATTATGTAATTGTTACTGTAGTATGCACCTGGGCGAGATACGGCAAAATATGCCAGGCAATAACTTGTGCAATCTATTTATTTTTTGTGTCTTCTTTATTCAGATTCTTGTTTTGTGGAAATTTGGAACCGTCACTTCCGTGCGCATAGGGGTATGGCGACTGTCAAGCGGGAAAAAAACAAAATCATTTCCCACGTAGTCTGTGATTATTGAAATCGTGAATTTATTTAAAAATACTTCATTAATCTACATGAATAGAAAAAATGGATTGCAGATGAGAAGACATACAAGACAACATAAACATATAAAGTACTACACCAGGATTGTCGTGGTGGGTTGCAGTTTGAATTTGGCCGTTTAACTAATACTTTCGAAAATAAATATTTTCTATGGTTACGCTGTACGCTGTTTCCTAAAGTAGTCATCGTAATCCTATCAAGTTGTGATTTTTCTTCAAATAACTTGTCTCGGTGTGTCTTTTCTGTTCTCATGTCCATATTCCGCTTGTACCGCTAGACGTCGCCAGTTACCAGTATCCGAGCCAGGGCATGCTCAGTGGCCCAGTATGCTGTGATGTTGTGGAGTCTCGATGTATCTGTAGCTCCTTTAATCCATCTTTTTCTTGGCTGTCGCCTACTTCTTTCTGTTTATTTTTTTTATACTGTACTCTGATGTTTCTGGCACCATTGAATTCATTCTTGTTATAGGAAAAAACCCATTTTCCCAATGAATATTTAATTATTGGCGTTGTTCCAGTAATGCTTGTAATTTCTTCGTTTCTCAAATAAAGAAAAGAAAAAAAAAAGTCCGGAGATGTAAACCAGCGTCATTGCACACGGTTATAAGCCATAAGTGCTCTGCCATGAGTACAGGCAACTGGTAAGAAACTATCCGCCTGTGTCGCTGTCCGCACACAGCTCAGTAGCTACAGCCACGTCCCTCCATTTACCCCAGTGTTAACTCTGGTACCCATTACCTAGAGGCTGGGTGAACCCTGGGAACCGCCCCATTTTTCGAACACCCGCCCTGGGTTGCAGCGAGTCGCAGCTGGATTTGAAAGCGAGCCTCCTATCGACTGCGACTAACGCGGCCCCCTAAATGATATAGTCTAGTTTGGTTTACGGCCTTTCTCAAACATGGCATTTTGCAAATGGACATTTTGCTGTCGTGTTCTTCGGTCAATGTATTCAAATATGCCACAGTTAGCACACGGTTAAATATGAAGACTGCGTGTACCTAACAGCTTTCGAAATCTTCTTCTTCTTCTTCGCGTTCACCAGCTGTACACTCTGGAAGAAAGTTCTGGTTGCTCGTCCACTACTGAACTGCAGTCCTGCTCCAGAACCTGAGTGTTGCGTGTTTATCAGTTTTACAGATCTCATTCTCTTGAATACAGACTGTTGGTTCCTTGCCTCTCCGGCAGATGCACTCCGACTTCAAAGGAAGCTCCCAATTAGTCGACTCTTACGACATGCTTTTGGGGAGTCAGTGGGTCTATTCTTGTTTTCCCCACAATGGGGCCCCGTAACCCACACGGGGGGCTTTCGAAATGATATTCTCTGTGTTTACGATGTTTCTTTGTGGCTAAGTCTAGCGAACGCTTCGTAATGCCGGGATGCCGAGTTCTATCCCAGCTGCGGGCCATGTGCCTTGCGTTGGTTTCTACAGTGGTATCAAGGAAGCCGATAGGAAGCAATGGCAAACTACTGGACGTAAATTTGCCTAGAAAAACCATACAGCAGCCAGAGGCTGTTAGGTTGGTTCTGCAACGTCCTGTAAAGGATACACAGCTAACCTTACGATGTCTAGTTTAGTCTTTACTGTTCAACATAACATTGCATACTTAGGCGTTTTTCTTCAAATGACTTGTCTCAGACTATGTCTGCTGTCTGTATTTACCATTTCTTGGATGGTAAAGGACAGGGGGGAGCCGCCGTGGTAAAGGGCCAAGACATTCGCCAGCAGATCCCACGGTTATGGGTTCAAATCCGCATGAAGCTGGAATTTTTATTTTTAAATATAACCTTGGCTCCCAGGTTGATCCACCCTGAAACGAGGTAAAGTCCTGGAAAGTAAAGGCAGCCAGGGAGATGTTGACTACATCATTCACTAGGGCCGGTTGGTCTAAAAATATAGCTCTTGCACTAGATACCCATTACGCCTGAAAGCGTAGAAAACCGTCGTTCAGGACAGAGAGGTCTTAAGCCCCATGTTTAGGCCAGATCTGCTGGTGCAGTCATCGCGAATTCAAGTATCAATCCACCCACCGTTTTGTGCTAGCTGCTCCAGTGTAACTTTTCGGTTGACTGCTCTTTCTGGAATTTCTACCTGGGGGATTCTCATCCAAATAACGACTCTTTGGGTCACTATGTGTTACTCGCTCAATTTTCAGTCCTAGTGGGGTTAAACTTCACTAGATAAACCCACCCACCCACCTCGTAACCATAGGTAGGTAGGTTTTTAGCTGGTTTGCAGGGACAAAATCACCACGTTCATCCAGCATCTCCAAAGGGGCAGCTTCAGGTTACAATTGTGACTTGGTTATGTGCGCCTTATAAAATGGCTTAGCATTACACGCTACCAAAAGCCCTTTGAAGGGATTCATGAAGCGTTAATGCGATCAAAGGAGACCCGGTATTACTATGCTATATGGCAGTGATTCCCAAACCTGCGCCGTAGCACCCCAGGGAGCCGCGACCTCTTTTTTTTTTTTTTTTCTAATCTCTTACATACGAATAGTCATTCTTTTACTTAGCTTAGGGCACCGTGGAAAAAATATCAAAGAAAAAAAAAACGTTTGAGAAACACTTCTGTATGGCGATACGACTGAACGGGGTTTTCAGGATTTGAAGCTCTTTGACTCTCATACTTGAGAGGTTAATCCTCCAGACTGCAACCCCGGATACAAGTGCACACATAATCTTTCTAACTCTGCTTCTTTGAGTTTTGCGCAATACAGGTGAATCATCATTATGGTCGTCATCGTTATCATCATCATCATCATCTTCTTCCTCTCCTTTTTCTTCTTCTTCTTCTTCTTCTTCTTCTTCTTCTTCTTCTTCTTCTTCTTCTTCTTCTTCTTCTTCTTCTTCTTCTTCTTCTTTTTCTTCTTCTTCTTCTCCTCCTTCTTCTTCTTTCTTCTTTTTTTGTAAGTTAATTTTACAGGTGCCAGGACCTCAACTTCCCCCCCCCTCCCCCAATAATTTGTAGGTGGAAATTTATAAGGGAACTGAAGGCTCCAACCCTTTTTGTTTCTAATGATTTCTTTGTTGCGTTGTCTCTGTTTTCTTTCTTTCTTTCTTATTTCTTTCTGTCAGTCTTGCTATCTTTCTCTTTTGAAAGTTTATTATTAAATTAGCTGTAACCAACAACAACAACAACAACAACAAATACAGTATAAATTGTGTAGAGCATGTAGGCCTGAAATTTATACGGGGAAAGAAAGAATTTTTTTTTTTTAAACAGTAACCACATTGTATTTAATTGGTTCTCCTCAGATTACAGTTCTACTCTGGAGTTGTTTCGTCAAGGCTGAAATACTGTAGCCTTCAAGCTTTCTGGAAAGAACAGCAAGAATACACACATGCCTGTACAACGAGCCATTGAAATTTTATGGTTTCTGTAAATCTTAAATGTTTTAACACAGGGCGGAAGAAGGGACAAATCTGAGAGCATCTCTAGTGAGACGTTTTCTTAAAATGGAATCCCAGAGTAACACTGCTAAGCGTTTCTATGGCGACTACAGTTTCAACACAGGAGAAGTTAAACATTTTTCTGCTATTGATTATGGTATATTCGCATCAGTTCTAGCAATATCTGCCGGCATCGGAGCTTGGTTTGCTTGGAAAGATCGCCGAGAAAAGGCCATCGATGAATTTTTACTGGCAGGGAGAAGAATGTCTCCATATCCTGTGGCTCTATCACTATTGGCTAGTTTTATGTCCGCCATCACGTTGTTAGGGACGCCGGCTGAGATGTATAACTTTACGACCATGTATTGGTGGATTGGGGTATCATACTTCTTTGTGATGGCAGCAGCCTCTCATATCTACATTCCAGTTTTTTATAATCTAAGAGTCACCAGCGCTTATGAGGTGAGTATATGCGATTTTAGGTTTCAGCTTTATAAAGTTTGCTTTGGACTTAACCAGAAATCAGAACACTTATCAAGAGAAAATACAAGAAATTGTGGAGATAAAAGGTAAGTAAGTCGGGAGATGTGAACCAGGGTCATTGCACACGGTTATAAACCAAACGTGATCTGCCACCAGTAAGGACAGCTGATAAGAAACTTTCCGCTTGTGTCGCTGTCCGCACGCAACTCTGTAGCTACAGCGACGACCATCCATTTGCCATAGAGAGTTAACTCTGGTACCCATTATCTAGAGGCTGGATGAACCCCGGGAACCGCCCGGTTTCGAACATGGGCCCTGGGCTGCAGCGAGTCTCAGTTGGATTTGAAAGCGAATCTCTTATCGACTGAGAGAACAAACTAACAGTAAACATTCACAAGACCCCATCAGCAAACTTATCAGAAAGCAACATTCGACAATTGTCCGTCTACGAACAAGACACTAAAGGCATAACTACCACATGCATAAAAAAAAGATTGTACAGTCCCCACAGTGTGTCTTTTAAGCAGGACCACAAACACCTGAGCATATTCTGCAGACCTGCTCACTCTAAATACAACTTCGAAAAGACACCTGGCCTCAAGAGGAAAGTGTGTCGAGCAAGCTATAGGGAACCACGAAGGACCTGCTACTGACATGCGAGTTCATAGAGACAACATACCTGATGGTCCGATCTGAGCACACGAAACCGAACGCAAAGAAGAAGAAGAAGGACCTAATGTTAATATTTTAGGGGGTCAATATTTATGAGACAAGATGAGAAGCATAAGTATTGTTTATCGGTGTCGCAAATAAAGAAAAGAAAACGGTAAATAATAATTAATATACTTGACTATGAACATAGCATGTTTGCCCTCGCTGATTCTGTACAAGTTGGGTTTAAAAATCATTCACGGGAAGCTAGAATGTGTAACGGTCTGCTGGAAGCGAGTAAAGAAGGAAGGCACAAATAGATCACAGTGTAAGGATAATGGTGCTGTAAGGAGTGATGACCAGGGCGTCTGGCCGACGCTCAAGGAAAGGACGAGATGGAAAAACAGCCAGACCGTTACTTGTACCGTCGGAATTGGAACTAAGAGCTTGCTGCCCAAAGATGTGAATGTAACGCTTACGGGAGTGCTGTTATGTCGATTCTTAATTCAACCTCAGACATAGCTTGAGGGATCAAGTGGACGTTAGAAAAGCTAATTCGGTTTCCTTTACAGAACGATGAAGAACCAAAACACAGTTTTATTTTTTGCAAATTTTTTTTTTAAACTCAAATTTACCTTCATTGGTTTGCCTCTGCTCTCTAAATGTTGGTTCTCAATACCATTATCGAAATGAAAAGTTTTGCGGCTTGCTGTCGGATCGCCCACAGCTGGAATCGAACCCGATATCACAGAATTACAAAAGAGCTTGCAGGTCACAGACGCCGACAGCACGAATGTATGTACATGATACTTTCATGTAAACATTAAGCATAATCACATATCCTTGCGAGCAAACATACTTAATTCTATTGTACATACATACATACATACATACATACATACATACATACATACATACATGACATACATACATACATACATACATACAGACATACATACATACACATACATACATACATACATACATACATACATACATACATACATACATACATACATACATACATCACATACATACATACATACATACATACATACATACAGTACATACATACATACATACATACATACATACATACATACATACATACATACATACATACATACATACATACATACATACATACATACATACATACATACATACATACATACATACATACATACATTACATACATACATACATACATACATACATACATACATACATACATACATACATACATACATACATACATACAACATACATACATACATACATACATACATACATACATACATACATACATACCTACATACATACATACATACATACATACATACATACATACATACATACATACATACATACATACATACATACATACATACATACATACATACATACATACATACATACATACATACATACATACATACATACATACATACATACATACATACATACACATACATACATACATACATACATACATACATACATACATACATACATACATACATACATACATACATACATACATACATACATACATACATACATACATACATACATACATACATACATACATACATACATACATACATACATACATACATACATACATACATACATACATACATACATACATACATACATACATACATACATACATACATACATACATACATACATACATACATACATACATACATACATACATACATACATACATACATACATACATACATACATACATACATACATACATACATACATACATACATACATACATACATACATACATACATACATACATACATACATACATACATACATACATACATACATACATACATACATACATACATACATACATACATACATACATACATACATACATACATACATACATACATACATACATACATACATACATACATACATACATACATACATACATAAATACATACATACATACATACATACATACATACATACATACATACATACATACATACATACATACATACATACATACATACATACATACATACATACATACATACATACATACATACATACATACATACATACATACATACATACATACATACATACATACATACATACATACATACATACATACATACATACATACATACATACATACATACATACATACATACATACATACATACATACACATACATACATACATACATACATACATACATACATACATACATACATACATACATACATACATACATACATACATACATACATACATACATACATACATACATACATACATACATTCTGTTTCTCAATAACAAGTGATGAAGACCACTTTCATCCTAATGTTCAATGATTATGAGTACGTAGGTAGCTGATTAGTACAATATGAGCCTGGAAAGTTCTTGAGCAGTGCGGACAACAGCTAGAAGCCGCAGTTAAGTGTTAGATTAGCAGTACCGTTCTTCTAATCTGCCTCTGTTTCTCTGTCTGTGCAACTTCCGCTGCCTGGCAGGCTGATGCGCCATGCCTAAGGGATGTATGCCATCCAGAACGGTCTTGTGCAGCAGCCTCCCACGTGACTGTATTGATGCCAACATAAATAAGGACAGTTTTGAGAGTTTTTGAGAGCCTTTTTGAACACAATTCTACGGTAACAAATTCTACAGAAACTCCAAACTCTTCTTGTTAGTTTGAACAAAAAAGATACAAACAATAGATTGCACAATTTATTGCCTGGCATATTTCACTGTATCTCGTCAGGTGCATACTACAGTAACAATTACATGTTTGTTTTAGTATCCAGAAGCCATGAATTGTTAACCCTTAGGCTTGGTATTATAGATATCGCAACCTTTCGGCCTTGATTCCATTGTAAATACGGTAAATCTGGGAGAAATATGGCTTTTCTGCCTACCCCGGAGTAAAACCAGACCACAAAGAGTTCGTCACCCGGTCACCGCGCAATCCGGTTTAGCCAACTATGCTAGAGAGCAGGGCTAACAATTACATTAATGAAATTGCTTTGAATCTTCTTCTTAGCTATTTTTTGATGTATTTATCCATACATGCTGTAGCTTTAAGCAGGAATTATTTCCTATAGACTTAGCTGAACTGGTTAGCTTAGTTGCGTATCCTTTACAGGACGTTGCAGAACCAACCCCAACAGCCCCTGGCTTTTGTGTGGTTTTTCTAGGCAAAGTAGTTTGCCATTGCTTTTTGGGCGGTCGGCTTTCTTGATACCACTGTCGAAACCAACACAAGGCGCATTGCCCGCAGCTCTGATCGAACCCGGCATCCCGGCATTACGAAGAGTTCGCATTGACTTAACCACAGAGCCCACTAGCTGAACTGGTATTGAGGGGGAAAAAGAGCGTCACTTTTCCTCTTCAGTATCTTTACAGTCATAGATGACACTGTTTGTCTACATAACAGGCCTGTCTAGTCTGGCAGCATATACATTTTTCCTAATGATTCATGGCCTCTATTCTTTTCTTATTTATCCAGTATTTAGAGAGACGTTTTAGTCGAGGTGTGCGGACAGCTGCGTCAATGACGTTTGTGTTTCAAATGGTAGGTATGTGTGCGTTGTGCTTAAAGTGGTGTGTGAGTGCGCTGTGTTCCAAGTAGTGTGTGTGTGCGTTGTGCTTCAAGTGGTGTGTTTGTGTGTGTATTGTGTGTGTATAGTGTTGTGTAGGCGTATATGCTCTGTCCTTTATAACTATAGGTATATGTGCTTTATTTTTGAAATTGTATGTGTATACTGTGTTTCATATTATAGGGTTAAGTGTGCTTTGTGCTTTAAATGGTAGGTACGCGTGCGTTGCATCTTAAAGGGGTAGGTAAAATGTGCTTTTTGTTTCAGATTGCACGTTTAGTGCTTTATACTTCAAGTAATGCGTATATATATATATATATATATATATATATATATATATATATATATATATATATATATATATATATATATCTATATATATATATATATATAGACATATATAAATGTTAATTTTCTGATGTTGTTAGCTAAAAACTCGAAAACTACTGAACCGATTGCTGTCAAATTTGCACAAAACGTTGCCTTTGCTTCCAAGCGTGATTTTTTGTCAGAAAATCGCACAAACCACGAACGATGTAGCTCCAGCAACGGTCAAATCATTGTTTGTTTCGTTGCCGGCCCGGATTTGTTTTTAGTTCATTAGCCATATTTGACTGCTAAGCTCTTAATGAACTTAGCATTATTATATAATTTTATTTTCACTATGTGCTTGAGTGTTTGGTAGCGTAGTTGGTAGCTATTCTGTTTATCATGCAGGTGACCCGCGTTCGATTTCCCGCTAGGTGATACGATTTTTTAGCCCTGAACTGGGCGGCTGGCACGTTGTGTTGTGGTTTATTTCTAGGCTGCGATATTTATGCCTTTTTCGGTTTTGGGGTTTACAGCTAGCCTGCGACAGCGGCGACGTGATGCTCAATGGTCATGTCACGGGTAATCTTCGTTCGCCCCCGAGAGGGCCGTTGGCACGTTTTGTTGTGGTTTACAGCTAGGCTGCGATATCTGACCTAAACTCTTCAGTCATTGGCAGTATAGTTGTAAGTATGTCATCCTTCACGCGGGTGACCGGTGTTTGATTCCCCGTTGATTCCTCGCTGGGTGATAATTGTTCTCTTTCCCTTAAAAGGGTGGTTGCCAACGTTGTGTTGTGGTTTACAGCTAGGCTGCGATATCTGCACCTTTCACCCAAAGACATCCGATTTCAGTTGTCCTAATTAGCCTCCCCGCGAGGCTTCTCGATCAAAAACTATTCGGCGATGACAGAAACTGTTAACTAAGACGGCTTACAGTCTAGTTTAGCTTGGGTTGACACGGATGCCATGGTCAGTTAAAAATCGTTCCCTCGGAGAGGGAGAGTTGACGGGTGCGGGGTATTTTTCTCCGCTGTTCGTGAGTAATGTGTACTTTTCACTGTGGGTTCCATCAATGGTTACGTGATGAAGTTGTTTTTTCCCCTATGTCCGGGGAAAAATCAAACTAAATAGTCCGTGGCGACAGCATGCGGCGCTCTCTTTTCTACACTGACCTACACAGACTGTAGTGACAGTTTTTGTTGTTGTCGTTGTTGTTGTGATGGTGGTGGTGGTTGTGGTTGTAGTAGTACTGGTACTGGATGGGTGATGTGGTAGCTGTTACACTGGCTACATTTACTTCTCTGTACGAGTTAATGCTACCTATTTAAGTCTGGGTGGACACGGATGCAAAGCTCAATTTAGTTACAATATTTCGTTACACGGTGACTTTCCCATCCTTCGGAGAAGATGATATGATTGGGGGGGGGGGGGGGGTATGCCCGACACAGTTAGCTGAGAGAGCTTAAAATATTATTTTAAAAGTTCTAATTTCTTAACTATTTCTATTTTAATAATTTCGCCAGGTGATGATTTTTTAAATCCTTCGGATAGGGAGATATGATGAGGGGGGGGGGGGGGGGGGGTTATGCCGGACACAGTTAGCTGAGAGAGCTTAAAATATTATTTTTAAGTTCTCATTTCTTAACTATTTCTATTTTAATAATTTCGCCATGGATGATTTTTCAGTCCTTTCGGAGAGGGAAATATGATTGGTGGAAAAAAAAAAAGGGGGGGGGGGGGGTTATGCCAAACACAGTTAGCTGAGAGAGCTTAAAATATTATTTTAAAGTTCTTATTATTTAACTATTTCTATTTTAATAATTTCGCCATGGATGATTTTGTAATCCTTCGGAGAGGGAGATATGACTGCGTCGAGGGGATAGGAGTGGGGAGGGGGGTATGAAATACACTGTTAGCTGAGAGCTATTTTCTTTCCTCTCCATTTTATCATTCAGGGCCACAGCAACATGTGGCCGGGTACAGCTAGTCCTTTATATTTCAAAATTGTAGGTATATGTTTGTTGTGCTTAAAATGGCGAGTGTGTGTGTGGTGTGTGTGTCTGCGTGTGTGTATGTGGTGTGCGTTGCGCTTAAAGAGATGAGCAGATATGTGTTGTTCTACGGTTAGAGGGCAGATATCTTTAATAATTCACATGGTAGGTAGAATTGCTTAGTGCTTCAAATGATAGGTATATGAGAGTTGTGCTTCATGTGCGTTACCCAGCAGAAGGGTAGCTCAGCCGTACACCTGCCCCCCTCCTCCCACCAGCTCACTTGCGAACACAGCCACACCTTCCTCACCACATAGGCACACGATTTGGGTGCCGGACGCAGACTATTTTTTTTTGGGGGGGGGGGGGGTGGAGGTAGGGGGCTTTGGGGTCATCAAGTTACCTGCACCATCATGTTTAGGCGCCTGTGTAGAGGTGGGCTGCACTTGCTTTTCATAAAATTTTGCATAATTTATCATAATGGCGGAACCTACAATTTTGTACATCTGCTAGAAGGTTTGTTTGCCGACTCGATGTACATATAACGTTTGACAATTAAATAATGAAACTGATTTTATTATGGCTAAGACAAAAAATGCTATCTATGAAGCAAAGCATGTAATCTAAAGAGGCAACATTCATCTATGATCTGGCAACATTTCATCGCCGCAGACAACAAACAAGCCGCCATTTTGTTGACCTAGTCAGAGGTGCATTGTTACGTAATAAGCACGGAGCAAAAAGCTAACATTAAATTCTTTTTTTTTTTTTTTTTCAGCTCAGACAAAGCGCCATTGAAAAAGTTGAATTGATGTTTTTGTGGAGATAATTGTTTATCTCGTGCACAAATTTTCAGGCGGTATTCACTATTGAAAAGTTGTGTGGAAATGATTACTAATGCACCTAGACCTGGAAGCCAAATTTCTGTTCGTAATAATGAACTCATTGCAAAAGTCAGAGAGCGGATACAAGAAGATCATTGTTTTACTGTGAGGATGATGGCAGATGAATCTGGTGTTAATAGCGAAACCATTCATAACATTTTAGTGCAAGATTTTGGCATGGAAAAAAAAAAACTGCGTGCCGGGTTTTACATTATCCGTTGTCTGATGAGCAAAAACATCAGCGGGTTGAGTACCCAAGAGTTCATCGAAAGAAGAATTTTTGGCCCAAAAACAAGTGTGCGTTCTCAGCCTTCCACCCTATTCCCCAGATTTGTCTCCTTGTGATTAATTTCTATTGCCAAATTTAAAGTTACGATTGAAAGGACGCTTCTTAAAGACATCCAAAGGACCATACCATCGACTGTAAGGGCCATAACAACAGAAGAACTACAGAGGTCGTCCCAGTGTTTGTTAGGTCGTGCCACTCGCTGTATCAAGGAACAAGGGCCTTACTTTGAATAAAATACAGGTCATATCTTCAACTGTTGATTATTTTAAATTATATGGAATTAGTCTCATTACTTCATTGTCGGACCTTGTATATCTGAATTTCTAGCAGCGACGGTTTTTGCGATATGGGTTCTGGAACCCCATTTGGAAATGAAATCTGAGTGGGGGTGGAGGGGGTGGGACCTACTGCCCCTAACAAGAAAAACAAAAGGTGGGGGTCAGAAACGGCAGCCATTTGCAAGAGTTTTGAACACACCAGTCAAGTACATTATTCACATACGTTATCAAGCATAGACCAAAGAGATATCAAGGTTCTCACATTTGTTAACGATAAATAAGATTAAAATAGTGTGGTTTTAACATATTTTGAACAAAAACAAGAATGAGTATTATGGTTTTCACATATATAATCATTAATAATCTTGTTTTTTTTTTTTTTTTTCACTTTCAGATTATGTACATGTCCATTGTACTGTACGCTCCGAGTCTGGCTCTTCACTCTGGTAAGTAGCCAACGAGGATCCGGGGTTCTTTTGTTTATTCTGGAGAAACATGGAAGCAGGTGGAAAGTGTTCCACGTCAGAAAATGTACACTCAGGACAAATGTAGATAAATAATAGCGCTTTTCATAGTGCGACTAGGGCCCCTGTGAGCCCCTGGGCAAGTCAGTGTGCTGCGGTCGCTACGGAAACCACTCAGTGAAAGTGGCGTCATCAAAGGTTTACTACAACATCAAGTGATAAAAAAATCAAATTTTACCACCCCAAATAATATGTCAAAAGATTTTTTTTTTTTTTTGGTAAGTAAAAAAGGGGGAAAAAGGGGGCGGGGGAGGGGGGCGAAGAGTTTAAAATGTCGCCATTTAACTATTAATAATTCTTTTTCTAACCTGCAATTATATTTATTTCCCATTTTTTTGAAGAAAAAAAATTACGTTGCTTGTTTTATTCTGTTTATAGCACATGTTGTTTTTATTTTTTATTTTTTATTTTTTTTTATTTTCAGTGACAGGTTTTACACTCTGGGGCTCCGTTGGCTCTGTCGGTGCGGTGTGTACTTTGTATACAGCATTTGTGAGTATTCTACTGTATACAGCATTTGTGAGTATTCTACTGTATACAGCATTTGTGAGTATACTACTGTATACAGCATTTGTGAGTATTCTACTGTATACAGCATTTGTGAGTATTCTACTGTATACAGCATTTGTGAGTATTCTACTGTATACAGCATTTGTGAGTATTCTACTGTATACAGCATTTGTGAGTATTCTACTGTATACAGCATTTGTGAGTATTCTACTGTATACAGCATTTGTGAGTATTCTACTGTATACAGCATTTGGGAGTATTCTACTGTATACAGCATTTGGGAGGTATTCTACTGTATACAGCATTTGTGAGTATTCTACTGTATACAGCATTTGGGAGTATTCTACTGTATACAGCTTTTGAGAGTATTCTACTGTATACAGCATTTAGGAGTATTCTACTGTATACAGCATTTGTGAGTATTCTACTGTATACAGCATTTGTGAGTATTCTACTGTATACAGCATTTGTGAGTATCCTACTGTATACAGCATTTGTGAGTATTCTACTGTATACAGCATTTGTGAGTATTCTACTGTATACAGCATTTGTGAGTATTCTACTGTATACAGCATTTGTGAGTATTCTATTGTATACATTTGTTCAAACGTGCCGACAGAATTGGGAAACAAGAGTTACTCAGTCATAGGCGCCAGATGGAAGCCGATGTAGTGTAGCTTCTAGACGCTCGGCCTGCGGACCCGAAGTAGTGGGTTCAGATCCTGACAGAGTTAAACCTTTTTCAGATCGGCCAAACCTTGAATGGGTACCTGTGACGTAAAGGCAGCCGTTGTGGTGTTGCTGATTGCCAATAGGTCTATAAAATATGGTATGCTCAAAACGCCTGAAGACATAGAGAAAAGGTTATTTACCTTTTTTTGTGTGTATGTTTTGTTTGTTACAAGGCGCCAGATCCTAGGAGTCAACCCCGCCCCAAAACAGCTGGAGTGGGGGAAGGGGGGTGGGGGGGGGTTCTCCAAAAAAATGTGAGAGCGGGCAAAGCGGCCCTGTGGCGACTTTCTAGGGAAGGACGGTTGGTATGATCCACTGAGTAAGATATTATGTCAGTAATAAAGAAGTCGGTTTCCCATTGGCAATGATTGGGGGCTGATTTAATAGCCGCATTGCGATTATCCATACTATGTTCACTAAATGCGTCTGCCAACTTCCTACAGTTTTCCTCAGTGTTTGCCTTTCTGTGTTGTTGAATAACCTGGGATTTGTTCTATTGGCTTGCATCCAGGTTGGGATGTTGTAATCTCAGGTTGGCCAAAGCTTCTTTAAGCCGATCAAAGTTAGGTAAACGTAAGAAAGGGGGAATTGTAGTTAAAGGTCTAAATAAGCAGGTCGAAATAGACCACTGCACGGGTTATTTTTCAAAAACTCTAAAGCCTTCTTACTAAACAGCATTTGAAACTCAGCAATTTCACTCTGCAAAATACTTTTGGTAAGGAGCTGGAGAAGATTATTGCTGTTGAACTGCGAACGTTTTTGGCGGTGGGTGGGGCGTGGGAGCTCCTGCCAACCAAGACGTTTAGACAGTATATAGTCAGAGAACAATACTTGGGGGGGGGGGGGGGGGGCACTTTTTTTTTTTTTTTTTGGTAATCTTTAGATATTCATAAGAATAGGCGGGAGGCGGTAGTGGCAACATTTGATCTTTAGTATACCCATAATACCGTCATTTTGATGCTATTGATAATGTTTACTGTTACTTGATGTATACATGAAATGATGTATGAAAGTAGGGAGAATAGAAGGGCAGAATAGTAGAGTGCCCAATTTTTTTACCCTTTGAAAATAAAGTGTTTTTGTTCGTTCAGATATGACAGTTGGATATCTTCTGACATGGAGAGGGGCGCCAGTTTCTAGCTGGTTAACTGGATATAAGCTTTCCTGCATTCACGTATGGTCGCCCTCTATCTGGATGCATGGACCACAGAATCGTGCAATATCGCTCAATTACTCCCCCCTGGTTCTGAACTTTCACGTCTATACAAGCAATAATGCAGAACTTGAGACACCGGGGTTGAACGGATATTGACTGTCGCAGAATTAGCCTACAAGACATACTCAGTAGGAGATAGGAGCGCCTATGGACAAGTCCGATGTGCGATGAAAGTGATCTTTAAATGAACGATGAACAGTGACTTTTGCAGATAATGTTCTTGCATATAGACAGGGGAGCGATGGTCGACAGACAGACCAAGAGCTACGGGCAATTGTGGAGAAAGTGACTGACTGGAATGCAGAAATGAGTGCTGTCATCTGTTTTATAATGCTTTCTTGAGAACAGAATCGTGAGAACTGGTGTCTCAAGCCTTGTTGTTAATGACAGAAGCATTACCAGATTGAGCAAAGTCATGTACCTGGGTATCACTTTCGGTAGCAGCCTGTCCTTCGGTGATCATGTGGAGGCAGTTGCGGCAAAATGCCAACATATTATTGAATGCACTCAAATTGACGGCAGCATTGGATATTGAACAAAGAATGTTGTACACAATGTTCCAACATGTGATCCTGTCGGTGTAGATTATGCGCTTGGGGTGCTTACTATATCTAAGAATCAGCTTATGAAACTTGAAAGCGTTAACGAAGGCAGTCAGGTGGTTGTAGGGGCGACGTTTGGCTGACTGGTAGTTATCTCAAGCCATTTCCAAAACAACGCAGGGATCCCTCACAACTAAGCAGTTGTAGAATTATTAACCCGCAAAGTGTGTATTGGAAACTGCTGGGAAAAACACTGTGGCGAAGAAAGTGATGGATGAACAGCCTGGGCCTGATAATGAAATAGTGTACACCGGTGGTTCTGTTAATCGGGGTGTAAGATCTGGCTGGGGATTTTCAACTAGAAGGAAGGGACAGATGGAGATTTTTTATCAACAAGCAAGCATGAGGATCGAGGTAAAGGAAATAACTGCAGCTCTGATGTGGATAGCATAAAACAAAGTTGCAGGAGGAATTACTGTGTCCCATTCAGTGCTGCTGAAGTTCAAAATTGACTAAAGTGGTATGTATGGGCACTAAGCATCAGTACACCAACATTGTGAGGAATCCAAGGGATTTACTGTCCGGGATGTGGAGGGGTGGTAGGGAACGAAAGAGCGGATTTTCTGGCTACAGGGGCGATTGCTACGGGAAAACTTGTACTGGACAAGAGAGACATTCTGAAGACCATAAACGAACAAATTTTGATAGAAGACACTATATTAGATGAAAGAGCATGGGTAAGAATGTGTGCACGAGAAATCAGGAGCGGATGCAGCCAGAAGGGACGAAGGAGAAGATGAGAATAGCGTGTGTAAAATTAGTGTTCTTACGGTAGGTTAGCTTCTACACCTTTGCTGCGGGAGACCGAGCATCTATGGTTATGCCCGGTGTGTTCTGATGTCGATTCTTACATCAGTTATCAGTATCTCAGCACACTTGTCTCCATAGCGAGGCTCAAAGACCATTCACAGGTGACACGTTCGATTTCAGCAAAGTGACTAAATATTTTCGATGTTTTATATTGTTTAGTGTTTCCTTCCATCTTTCAATTATTTTTTTTCTATAAATGCTGAACAGTAATTCACATTCTGTTTTTTTTTAATTATATATTCCCAGGGTGGTATGAAGGCCGTGTTGTGGACTGACAGCTTCCAAGTTTTTATGATGATTGTCAGTCTCCTGGCTATCCTGATACAAGCAGCGATCGTTGTCGGAGGATGGGGCTACGCCTGGGAATCTGCTGGTAGAACTAACAGAATTTGGTTCACTGAGTACGTTGTCATGTTGTTAGCACTGGTTATGGATGAAGATGCTATCTGAATATGCGTTCTTTCGGTGTATGTGTCTGTTATCCCACAGAAACATTTTTGCTTCTGTATTTCACTTACAAGACGTTGCAGAACCAATCACACTTGTATGTGTGTGTGTGTGTGTGTGTGTGTTTTTTTTTTTTTGCTGGTTTGGTTTTACTACAGTTTTACTTTCAGTAGTTTGCCATTGCTTATGAAAAGTCGGTTTTCGACAGTATTGTCGAAATGCGGCTAAATCATCTACAACTTGAACTGAACCACGATAGATAGATAGATAGATAGATAGATAGATAGATAGATAGATAGATGATATAGAGAGATAGATATATAGATAGATAGATAATAGATTAGATAGATAGATAATAGATGATAGATAGAAATAAAATAAAGTTTAAATGGGATGAAATGATAGATGATAGAGAAAAAAGGATAAAAATAGTAGTAATAGATAATAATAAATAATAGTTTAGTAGATAGTAGATAGATAGATAAATAGTATTATAGTATAAAGAATTTAAAAAAAAAAGGGAAATTAGAAGATAGAAGATAGAAATAGATAATAGACAGAGTTTTGGGGAAGTAGGGGCGCTGACCACCCTCCCCATCCATCTTTTCGTAATCCCAAATTATGAATGCTAATGTTTTTTTTTTTTTTTTTTTTTTCATAAATCTTTCCCCTTTCATTTTTTTTTTTTTTTGTGAAAAACAAAAATCATTAAACTAAGTCAAACGCTGACAAAAACGCAGAAGCTTCCTCGCATTGTTCCTGCACGAAATGCCCCATACACCCTGTTCATCTAGTTAAAGGCCCTCTTCAAGTTTTGGGCGTATGGTCTTTGGGGGTAACCCTTTTTTTTAAGAAAAATTCAGCACAAATGATGTGTGGTCAGCTCCCCGGTCCCATACTTCCCGGACGCTCCCTTTCCCCCACCCAAACTGGTCGTTGTGATCCCCGGTCTTTTGAAAAGGGTTTTTTCATGAGGGTAATTAAAATTTTTTTGGTTCTATTTCCCGGTGGTTCCGGGTTTGGGGGAAACAAAATAGACCCATTGCTTCCCATACAGCATCTTAGGATCCATAAATTTGGCGGGGAAATGGGGGGTCCTCAAGTCAAGTACACGCCACAGAGGCACGAAACCAAAAAATCTGCAAACCCAAAAAAAAAAATCTGTAACAGAGATATTTTTTTTTTTTTAAAAATCCCCCCAGAGTCTTTATCAGCCATTGAATCCCGTTTTTTCACCCTTTTCAAAACTCGAGGATAAGATTGGCCTCCGAGAGTGAAGTTTTTTTTAATAGAGATCGGCACCTATGGATTGTCCGGATGCTGTGGTATAATCCCTACTAATCACTCTGACAAGTAATTTCTGCAAAATTTATGGCCCCCAAACTTTCCCCAAAACCTTTTAAAAAAGGGAATAGGAAAGCTTTTAAAGATTCTTCTTCTTCACGTTCCCACGCTTGAGTCATTGCCCGGGTATACCCCCTGCTTTTTCTTCTATTGGCCTTTTTTTTTCCCTTGGGACCCGACGAGGGGCAAAGAAATTGGAAAACAAAAAAAAAAAAATAATGCTAGAACAGTACTTGCTTTTTTTTTAAAAAAAACCAAAATTATTAAGTTTTCAACAGCCAAATGCCATATCTTTTGACACCTCACAAATTTTCTCTCCACACACACACACCCACATTAAAATTTTATTTAATAATATATAATTTTTAAAGCAGCCGCGCGCGCACACAACCCCAAACACACAGAGGGGGGATCCTAATTTTTTACCCCGACTAGAAAAAATGCACAGAAAGCGAAATTTTGTAAATTTTTTTTCCCTTCTGAAATGCCTATCTTTAAAACATTTCCCATTTAACCTTTTTCCACCTTAAAAACCGGGAATTCCTTGGTCTTTTTTTAAGGGGGGAAAAACCAAATTTTTGAGAGTGCCAAATCGGGGTGATTTGGCGGCTAAAAAATTCCAATACTAAAATTTAAATTGTTCTTAAGAGCACAAATCTGGGCTTTGTGAAAAGGGGCTTCTTTTTGAAACAGTAAAATTCTGAGTCCTACAGCTCCTTTTTCCCTTTGTCACAACTTTTTCAAACTTTTTTTGTTTTTTTTTAAAGAGGCCAAAATTTTTACTGTCTCGCCCCCCAAACATTTAATTCTTTTAAAAGAACACATTTAAAGACATACAAAACAGAAATTTTCCTTGAATGTCCTTTCTCTATTTTTTGATCAAATGTGGGGCAACCTGGAGTTTACCAGTGCATGCGGGCAATTTTTGGGGGGTTTTCTAAGGGTGAACCTAATTCTCATCTAATTTCACCATAACCTCCCCCCAAATTTTTCGGGCAAACCCCTTTTGAGAAACCTGCCGACCACGCAAACCCTCACCTCATTTTCTTCTTCACGTCAGCACGCGTTAAAAAACCCATGGGGCGCACACTTTTTTTGGGGTTCGGTAGGGTTTGAGAAAAAATTCTACAAACCTGTCAATTTTGTCTTAACATTTTTTCCCATTTTTATTGGTAACTCTGACAAGGGCCCTTCGGGATTTGGCTATCAACAAAAATTTGTGTGCCCACACTGAACTGCTTGCACCAATTTGTTTCCCGAAGCCTATAACCGCCACATTTCTAAAATATTTGGCCCTCAGTCCCCTGTTTTTTCTGTTGGTTTTTTCAACCCGGGGAAAAAAAAACCATCGGGAATTTTTTTCACTTTTCCCGGGACCCCGATTTTTCCTTTTTCCCCCCTTTTTTTTTTTGCGGGCCAAAATTTTGCCCCAGGGTCACCACCCCTGTGCCTAAAAAGGAAAGCCTTTTTAAAGGGATAATCCCCGCAAACTTCTCACCCAAAATAATTATAGTAAAAAAATGCCCCTTGAAAAACTTACCCTTAGATAACCCCGGGGTATATATTTTTTATATAAAAATTAATAAAAATTTATTATTATATTTGGGATTTAAAATAAAAAATTTTTTTGTTGTGTAAATTAATTATTTATAACACAGTGTATGGGCCCCCCAAATTGGTGCATTTTTCACCTGGGTGGCAATTTTTGGGGCAAAACAACCATGGTGGGAAAGAGCAGTCACTTTCCAACACTAAAAAGCCAAAAGTAACTGGTTTTTGTCTGTCCTCATTGGACATATTTTGGTTTTTTTATTTCTTTTAAATGTTTTTTATTTTTTTTTTAAAATTTTTTTCTTTACTTTTTAAAAACAAATTTAAAAATTTATCTTACCCAAAAACGTGGTGCAAGAAAGACATTCTATAATTATTATTCCCCTAAAAGACAAAGTCAGTATAAAAGATCTAAACCCCCCGCAATGAAAATTTGGCAGACAACAATTGGGGGGCTTTTTTTTTTTTTTTTCATACTAAATCCCCTGTGGGTTCCGGGCCCTATTGGGGGAAAAACCCCAAAAACTCAAACGCCCGCAAAAGTCGACTAATTGGGGGCTTCCTTCGAAGTCGGATTTTTCATCTGCATACAAGAGGAAACCCCAAAACTGCAACAAAAGAGTCAAATCTGTAAAAAAGGGGGCACACGCAAAAACCCCCAAATTTTGGAAACCAAACTGCAGTCCCCAAATTTGGGTGCCCCCAAAACTTTTCCCCCCGGTTTTAAAAACGGTAACGCGAGGAAGAAAAGATGTCTATATATGAGAATGTGTGAATTTTTCCCAAAATAAAAAGTAAAATAGATCAACCCTTTGTAGAGTATACTTTCTATTCAGCGGGGGCTCGCGGCTGTTCCCT